TTTTTTTTGTCTTTTCACTGTTCCAACAATCACCATCTCTGGTTTGGTTGGGAAAAAATCCTTATTTCACCAAGTAGATGAGAAAAGAAAAAGGCTTATAGGTCTCCTCAAAGCCAACAACTTCACAGTGAGGGACTCACTCACATGCACTTACATGCACGCGCGACCAGATCAGCTACCAAGCTGCTGACCCCGTTTTTCGTTTTTAAACTCCGGGTTGCGTTTAAGTGCGGACGGGCAAAAATGGAAGACTTTAGAAATGATGAAGCAGACATTCACGTTTGGCTCTCTGGGTCTTATAAGTCATGCAAAGCAGACACAAGGTGCTACTGACTGAGTTTTTGACTTGGTATTTTTATTCAAATATTTTGCACCACGCAAATAACACTTACATCCTACACTTTGTACTGTGACTTGACTCCCAGTCTGTTTTCCGCCGCCACAGCCACTTTAAACTCCTGTGTTATATTCAGTAAGACTTCCAGTTCGTTATTGGTCCATGCAAAATAAAATCTGGTGCGGTTCTTCGTCTGCATTACTTTCTTCTTTCGCCAAATCTTCTGTAACTACAGAATAGACCATCTGCTTCATGTTTACACCGGCACATACAATAATACAATAATAAAATCAGACACAGGCTACAGTGTGCAGAACACATACATACACACTATAAACAAAAACAATATAGACAGATTGACAGAGTAAATTATTATTATCAGGATGTACATATGTGGTGGTGGCACAATGGATAAGACTTTGCCTTTGGTGTGAGAGACCTGGGTTCAATCCCCCACTGTGACCCATCCACCATTGTGTCCCTGAGCAAGACACTTAATTTCTACACTTCCTAATTGCTCTGACATAAATAGCTTTGGATGAATAAATGTCAGAGGTGGATGTGATGTAGGCTACACAGAGGCAGCCGTCTGCGGGGGCATCTTGGTTGATGGAGCATGGTAAGAGTGCCATTTTGATGTAATGTTTTCAGAACAGTTAGCTAAAAGCAGTTTTAAAGTAAGTAGTTTATTAACTAAAACATAAGAACACAATTTTCAAACACGTTATGCTAGTTTTAAAGCTCATTTGAAACAGTTTTTAATACCAGTAACAATATTTACCAGTGTAATAATCTCTTGCTGTAATTTTGTTCAGGGTATATTTTTATTTCTCTGTAAAAAGAGCAGAGGACAAGTAACTCTAAGTAATCGTGTGTTCTGACACCACTTAGTCATCTCTGAGACGTCTGTTGATGATTTCAAAACACTTGAACCGCGTGGCACACACTCCGCCGTTCTCCGTGAAAAAACCGACTTGACAGCTTGACAGAATCACTAGAAACAGTTAAGGAGGCAGAATGGATGCTCTTAACCTCCCACAGCTTTTATAGGCATCTCAAGCAGCTACGTACACCCACACAGAGTGCACACGCACACACACACACACATACAGAGGCATACACTGACATTAACACAAGCTCCTCAAACACACTGAGAGGCGTTGTCGAGGGAAGTTTTCCAAAAGCGTTTTCAATCTCTTGTACATCTGTAAATACACACAAATGCTTGTATACATAAGCATATAAAATCACACATTCAGATACTGTAAACAATCATGCAAACTCTTGATATGTATTCTCACTGGTTTCCCCTCATAAATTGGACCTTTCAAGGCATTTTTCAACATTTTGGTAAATATCTTTATCAGTCATGTATGTTACAATCTCTTTATGATTTTTTATTTGATTTTTTATTATCTATCCTGTACACACAAGATCTATTACGTGTCTGTCCGTCAATTAGGAGCGATCCCTTCTCTGTTGCTCTTCCGGGAAGTGGACAGTAAATTCTGCTATTTGTGATTTTAGAGGAGAAAAATGTGAAACCAAAGGAGCATGCCGGGGGTTGCGAATGTTTCGTGTTTTGCATGCATTCCTACTCTTCCAGGGAGCCTGAGGTTTCAGTTCATTAGTAGTACTGCAAACACTCGCTTATAGTACAGTCAAGGACCAATGAGTCAGCTGAATGGAAACCTTTCAACAACAACAATTATACTTTATTGATATAGCAGCTTTCTAACCGGAGTTGCAAACTGCTTTACAGTAAAGCCACAGATGAAAACAAAGAAAAAACTGTAAAATATATTCTAAAATAATAAACATACACAAAAACAGTACTCATCGAACTTTCCCTAACACAAAATAAGGAAATAAACAAGGTTAACTATGGGGTAAAATAGGCCAAGTTCAAAAGGTACTAAATTCCTTGGCAGCCCTACGCCCCAACAACAACCTTTTTAATGCAAAAAGTAATGACAATGAGACCAATAATACTGTACCAAATGTTTTTTTGTGATCAGGGCAAACAAACTCTTTAAAAGATACAACTGAAATGATCAGCTTCATAATGTATGCTTTTAGATTTGTGTGTGCATGCTGTGAGTGCTTTTAGAAGAAGTTAGAAGCTGTAAAATGTCCTTACTTCTGAGGATTTTCTTCATATTTCTGTCCTTTTAAGAGCTAAGATCTAAGAGCATTTTGGCTTTCATGCATTTGATGCATCAAATGATGATCAACTCACACCAGCCCTGTTAGCGGTAATCATCACTCTATGAGGTTTTTCCCACAGAGACCCTTTTAATGTTGTTCCTTATTAAACATATGTGCCTCCTCCAGCTTTATGTGATACACACAGCACATCAGACATCCTGCCACCACCACCTCATACTGTAAATCCACTCGGGAACCAATCACACTGAAGCCTTCCACATTTGTCCATAATGCAGGCGTCATGAAGATGGAACGGCAGCGTGGATAAGGAGTCGAAGAGATATGAGCTCTGAGACCGTCCAAACCGCGCTGTCCATCTCTGCCCTGAAACTGACAAATCTGAGGGGAAATCATGTATTGTGCTCCAGTGCAGCAACTTTCCTCATCCCATCTGGCCTCCCTCGCCACACATCGTTAGCTTCAAAGAACCTCTTCCCCCCCCGTTAGCCAGAAATCACTTAAGAGGGTTGTTTCAAATTGCAAAAAAAAGCTTTTGACTGTCTCTGTTTCAAACAATGCTCAAAAGCAGGCCTTTCTTCCCGTCGAAGACGGCACATTGTGTGGGCTTTCTGTGCAGATGTCTCCGTGGAGGATGAGGAAAAGAAAGCAAAGCAATCTGAGGCAAAATGAGCAGTAGTTGGCCTGTTGAGAGACCCTGAAAATTACAAATACACACATCGACACCCACGATTCTATCACATGAAGCAACTGACAGAAACATACAATCTTATTTACCTCCCCTCCAGCCAGGAAAGCTATTATTGCTGCATACAAACATGTTTCATCTGGAACAACGTCAGTAAAATTGGTTTCATTACCTGGTCTCAAAGGCATGCTGAACACTGCATAAACTCTAATGGTCTGGCCCGACACGATTCATTATTTATTCACTACATTTGTGTATTTTTTTCCCCTTGGGGAGCAACATTACACATTATCGGTCAATAATGGAATTCACACTTCGCCTTCACAGCTTGACAAGAAAAACTATTCTCTAATACTCTAATAATGTTAGTATAATAATTCAATTCTAATTCAATATATTGTGGAAATATGTTTTTTTTTCACAAAACAAACCAGTCACCCGTTTAAGTATTGTGTTTTCATGTTTTAGCTGACATAATCAGAAACGGGAATAAGAGTCGACTCTGTGACGCTTTACTTTTCAGTGGCGTTTTTAGCTAAACGCTTACATTAGCGTTATTTTTTCTCCATGGGAGCCAACGAGCACTTGTTAATCAAAGGCAGAGATGTCGGAAAGCTGATGGTTAAAAAAAATAACGAGTGCAAACATTCTTACAATGACAATACTAGCACGCTGATGTTTAGCAGGTGTGATTTTTTCCATATTTTATTTAAAGGGGCAACATGTAGTTTACAGCGGCCACTAGCGGTGCAGTTTTAAGATTGCAACCAGGTTTGTGCTCGTAGGCGTGCTCGCTTGACCTCATGAGCGAGCAAAAACTGAAACAAAACCCGCTTTCATACAGAGATCCCGCTAGATAAAGTCAGTATCACCAAAGTCATTACAATTCATCTCGAGGAAGACGTGGATGTGCGCAGCCTTCCATATTTCATGGCAACCCATCCAGTAGTTGTGGAAGCATTTCACTCAAAATCACAAATATCAGCCTTGTGGTGGCACAACACGAAAAAGTCAGGGAATCACCAAAGTTTATAGTATTCATCCTCCGGGGACTGAATGTTTGTACAAACTGTCAAGGCAGTCCATCCAGTAGCTGTTGAAATTTCAGGGGGATAGACATACACTCACCTACAGCCACACTAATAGCATAGCTTAAAAAATAAAAACACACTCATTAGGTAATTATGCTTTTAAAAAGTAGATGAAACATATTCAGGAAATAAGTTGTTCAATGTTAAGCTGTATGAGTTTGTCATTTTATTCAACTATTAAAGCCATCAGCATTGTTCAGAGAAGCTGCAGGTTACAGGACAGGCCAAAGGGTCACAGATTTTATCCCCCAGAAACCTCCACCTGAACATGATTATGAAGTTAACGTTCACTGTAAAGCATTCTAGATAAAGCTGTCATTTTAAAAAGGTCTTAGCAAATACGTGATCCCAGTGCCATGAATTATGTGGAAAACAGAAATTAAGTTGCTTTGTTTTAAGGGTCAAAATGAAGATAAAGATCTGTCCAGGCTGCAGGTGGTTTAATTGTCAACCCTTCAAAACAGTTCAATACAGACTTTTACAAGGAGAATTTCCATTTAAAATTTCAGTTTAATCAAAGACTGAGATTCATCTGACAAACCAGTTTGTCCTATAATTTATGCACTGATGCTTTTGTCAGAATTAAAAAAATAAAGCCCAATTCAATATCTTATCACCTGGTGGACCATTTACTTACTGTAGAAATAGTTCCATCTAGTGGACTAAGTTATTACTTTCATCACAATATTACTCCCCAAACATTGGAAAAATCAGGAACTGCAGGTGCAAAAAACTGTGTTTATTTTTTTAAAGCAATACAAATACATGATCATACATCTGTGTTAATAAATAGTGAATATTGTGATTTATTATACAAATAATTTAGGTGGAAATAATTTAAATTAAGTGTGCATCATTTTTAAAAGTGTTTTTCACTTTGAAGTGTACTCGTGCAAATTAACATCGCGTGTCTTTTCTACAGGTTCCTGCAGAGAGAGAGGGAAAAAATAAAAATACATAGCACAAAATGTTAAGTGCAAGAAAGCAGACTTGCTACATCCTCTTTCTATATTCATGATGAAAAGTCAGCATACCATTCTTGATCTAGAGTAGCTGCAGTGTCATGACATTTGGTCCCTGTATTTGTGCACATTAGTCTATCAAATTTCTGCTTTTCAAGGCTGCCCTTCTGTGCAAGTCTTGATTTAAAATTACTTATGTTACAGGTGATTTTAAAGTACAACACTTTTTTTTTTTTTTTTTTTTTTTTTTTAAGTGAACAGCAAACCTTGTGATTTCTTGTGTTTATTCAAGTGTTGTGATTTGGCTTCATTCTTGGAGCCATCGGTATCGGGGTTAGTCATCGCTGCTTTCCATGACTTCTCTGTCGGATGAGAAGTTATAGAGTGGCAAAGACAGGCACAGTTACACAAAAGCATGTTAAGTGTTAATTCTCCTGATCATGAAAACCATTTGCTTACCGGTTTGCCACCTGTGCGTCTGGTAAATCTGATCCATGTTCCTCCATTTGTCCTGCAGGGAAACGGGCACGGCACAGTTCTCATCCATTTCTCGGATGGTGTTGCCGTGGGGGCAGTGGTGCATCCTCTCCCATGCACCAGACTGACGATGTGGCTCATTACACACACAGTTCTTTTCTCTCAGCTTGGGGTACATTGCTGTAGGACATTTCTCCAAGTTTTGCTTTGAGGCCAGGGGCCTCTTGAGATCGCCGAGCTTCCTGAGATTATCAGCTGCCCTCCATTTCGGCCTTGTGCGCCATGAGCTGTTCTCAGACGATTCTCCCTCAGTGTCGTGTCCATGACGGCGGCCACCACGGACATCAGGACTGGAACCTTGTCTCATCAGTCGTGTGTTGGTGTGAGATTTACAGGCTTCACATGTTGGTAAGAGCCCATCATTCCACTGTTGGAAAGCTTTTCTTTTTAAGGTCTGAGCATCGAGTCCCGGGCTGGCAGATGTACAGATCCTGCGTTTTGCCTGACATCCGGCGCAAAGTCGCTCTTTCTTGGACACATAAGGGCTAAACGCATTCTCATTGAAATTTCTACTAACGCAGCATTCATGGTCAGAGAGGCTTCGTCGATCCACCTTGCCTTTGGGTTTGTACCTCTCTTTTGGCTTTCGAATTGTAGGCTGTTCCTTGTACTCTAGGTCTAGTTTTCGTCTTCTGGAAGGCACATCTAAACCGTGGCTGCTCAAAGGTCTGCTCTGTTTCTTGGGAGTTTGTGGCAACTTGCTACAGTAGTAGACATTATCAAAGTCAGCCAGCCAGCTGGTTGAGGGGAGGTAGGCAGGCAATGATTCGAATGAAGTGTCCTGGTGATCCTGGGCATTTGTTTCTCGTCTATGTTGGTTTCTATCTACCTTAAGAGGAGAATTATCCAACAACAGCAAGTAAGGTACATGAGCCACCTCTGCTATGTGTGTCGACTCGGTCATAGGAGTTTCCTCTGCAACAGGAACACCCATCATAGAGCACATATCAGCTTCAGATGCCATCTCATCCCCAGGACTCACAGTGGGGACCATGTCATCCAGTTCATCCTCTGTCAGAGGAGGCATCTCGATCATGGGAACAACCTCTTCTGTAGGAGCCTCCTCCCTCACCATCAGTGCATCTGCTGAAGGCACTTCAGCTACAGCAGCCAGTGTTTCATCACAAGACTCTGTGCAACCGTTTTGGATCAGCGATTCAGGGGAGGGAATCATAGTGTCCTCCATTGACCAGACAGTGGATTCCATCTTTCTCAGCTCATCCAGGTACTTGGGGTCAAATGGCAGGTGAACAACTTTGAAGTGAAGGTTCTTGGATGCAACACTCTGATCTTTCTCACCGCTTGTCTCCTGATCGCCACCATTAACTGCTACTTGGGATCCAAAGTCTGAGGAAACACTCACAGAGTCTATCTGGTTCCTCGTCTCCTCCGAAGCCGGGATCTTCTCATCGCTGCTGGGCATCCCAACTAACAGGATGTCAGGACGTGCTTGGAGTACCTGCTCTGACTCTTCTGCAGGAAGGCACAGTCCCTCGTCCTGCAGCACACGACCCTGGCGAATGGATCTACACTGGACCACATCTTGGGAAAAGCTGTGGGATACTTCTGAAGTCTCATGAGAGTGCAGGAGTTGTAGTCCCACCGGTGTGGTGCAGCATTCAATCCTCACCTCCTCTGTCTGAATAACAAAGCTGCCATTTGGTGGCGTCCGTTTGTTGGAAGAGTTCAACATGTCCTTTGGCTCCAGAGAGTGATCCCCCTTCTGCACAGCAAAGGCTGGTGAGAGCGGCTGACTGGTGGGGACACTGGGGGTGTTGTCAGTGCTGTGGACTGGGAGACCACTGGAGGTTTCAACATTGCTGGAACCTGAGGTGCTGGTCCTCTGGGTTGCAGATAGTGGCTCTGTTTGAACCTCAGAGCTGGTCATTTCTCTGGCCTGGCCGTTGTGCTGGTAGCGGAACCTGCGAGACTGGTAGGCCATGGTCTGGTAATACTGAGGGTTGAGCATGCGTCTGTAGTCCATCAAATGGAGGTGAGTATGGGGTACAACAAAGCCAGGTGGCTCTGTGTACGGATTTGGTTGATAGCTGGGCATCACTGGCATGCCATAACCTTTAATAGCAAAAGAAAGTAATGAGTATTAAAGTGCTCTAGTGGTTTGTTAATCATAAAATTTATCCATTTCAAAGCACATCTCACTAAACTACTGAGCCCCTCTCATTCACTCTGTCAATCAGCCTCAAAGCATGTCATGTGTTTTGCAAAAGTAGATGCACAATGCAAAGCTGAAAGAGGAACAGAAACGCTTCTCATTAGCCTGGCGAGCCAATGATGAGTAATGGGTGAAATAAAGCAAAGAAAATACTGGTTTTCTTTTTCGGGTTTCTGAGCCAATTTGGGTCTCACATTTGGCAGTACCAATTAGGTTCAGCTGAGTTGGGTCTTACAGATGCAGGTAAGGGCAGAGTCTAGTCTCAGTTTTAGGCCTGTGCAGAACTTTACACGAAAGACAAAACTATATGCAAAATGGGGTCACTGCAGCAGCAAAATAAGATAATTGATTAATAAAAAGTCTGGACTAGTTTACAGTCACACCATTTGTTTTGACTGTACTTAGCATGGTGATGTTGGCAAAAGTCACAGCTGTGCCTTACCTGCTCACAATGACAATGCTAACAAGATGATGTTTAGCAGGTAAAATGTTTGCATTGTTCACCGTCTTAGTGTAGCATGTTAGCATGCCAACATTTGCTAATTAGCCACTGAACAGAACAGTGATTTAGATCACTACAATTGCCACCTCACCAGAAACTCAGGATGCAGGTAAATAATCTGAAAATGTGAGCATTTATATTAATGTCGTGTGTATTTAAAAGTATACAGAGGTAGACCAACTCATTTACAAACAAAAAAAGAATGCATAAAAAAACAAAAAAACAAACAAAGTATATGTAGAAATGATAAACTAGGAAAGCATTTAGTGAATAAATGTTCCATTTCAAAACACTTCACTACATTAATTGTTTTCTACATAAAACAAAGGGCCTTGTACAGCAGCAACTGCAGCATAAGTTAAATATATTCAGGGAGCATTACAACTCCAAAATCCATTAGTTGCACCCTAATTGGCACTTACCTAAACCAGGGTAGCCATAGTATGGGTTGTAGGAAACAGGCATGGGCACTGGCACAGGCCACTGCATACTCTGCATGGGCAGGTATGGCTGCGAGGGCTGGACGTAGAAGAAAGGTTTGTGGTGGTGCTGCTGCTGCTGCTGCTGCTCCTCAGAACGTGAAGCTCCTGAAGACCCAGGATCCAGCTGATGGGACCCTTGAGCCTGCTGAGCTCCATAAGGTGGGCTTGGACCTCGAGGGCCCGGACCGAAAGAATGTTGCAAGGTAGACGTGGCTGCCTCCATATCTGACAAAGAAAAGCAAGTTAAAGTACTTGTTTGAACTGTTTTGTTCTTTGTTGGCAATTATTTTGCAAAAATCTGTGAATTTTCTAACTACAAAACACTTGCTGAACAAGTATACCTACATGCAAAAAGAGGATTACCACTGACAAACCAATACAGCTTTCAAAGTATGTTTTAAATTTGAAGTGGAAGGCTAGCTTGTCAAATGCTGCACTGATTGGTTAAGTTTTGGTTCCAGGTGACAACTGGCCAATTAGAGTTTAATGACCTTCTTCTAAAGCCAATGAAAAATGTTTGTTTCCCACTGATTCCTTCCCACTGTGGTGCATCATCTCACCTGTGGAAAGGCAGACAAGAGGTAAAGGAGGTGAGGAGCTGGCTTTAATTAAGGGCAACCAACCTGCAGCTGGTTGGAATCATTGGCGCAGGTTACAGATATGTGGCTCAAAGTGGCATCCTGTCCTTTGTTAGCATCTTTGTGAAGCTCAAGGTTCATATTCTTGAGGGTTCATCTCTAAAATGCAAAGCACATATTCACACGGCCCATGTTGAGATGCAGGTATGACCACTGAAGAGCCAATTAAAAGGTTAGATAATAGCTTGTTTGGTAGCCTGGAACAGTATTTATAGACCCTATTAAAGCAATCATGCTGTGACGAGTTTATTTACTTGACCAGTAATTTTTAATTAGTATTACTGTTTTTTTGTTGATTCTTGTCAGTGTGCTTTCAGGACAAAATACCCCTACAAAACTTACTTTTACTGTCAAAATATTCTGGTATTTGCACTGGATCCCACATTTCAGTATAAAGCCTTTTCCTTAAAGAATGATAATCTAAATCAGCAGGTGTTGCCTCAGCTTTCTGTAAAAATACTGTTGTGAACAAAAACAAGTTAGAGCATCCAGCGACACCCATAGGTTAGTAGAAAAAAAAAAAAGGGCTAACTAACAATTCTTTTCATTCTTAAGTAATCTGATGTAATTTTCTCAACTGATTAATTATTTTGGTCTATTAAATGTCAGAATATAGGGAAAAGTGGCCATCACCATTTCGCAAGGTGACATCTTTAAATGACTTGTTTCATGCGATAAACAGTCTGCAAATTTATTGAATTTATGATGTAAAAAACAGACAATCCACATTTGAAAAGCAGGAATCAAATGTTACTCAACTAATCACGCTACCATCTACTGAGAACATGTGATACAGTATGACAGTGGACAGAACTAGCACCTGGTTCTGCAAATATATAGGTATTTCCATCTGCTGCCATATCTATACATCTACCAAACTAGATCCCTTAAGTTAAAATAGGCCCTTAAGTGTTGGAACGTGGTTCCTTCCTGGTATTGCTTCAAGTTTTCCATATACAATACATGTCAATTAGAAAACGTGCTTCTTGAAATACACTTTCAATTTCAACCAGTCCTCATTATAAGAGTGTAAATCTCACGACAACATATGTAAGATGAGTCAACACAAAACTTAAATAATGACAATATTTTATTGGACTGGCCCCAAACAGTGCAACCTTTCAGCCCATTTGCCTGTCTGTGAAATTCATAAGTAGTGCACGTTAGTGTCACTGAAGAAACTTTATACATTTTTTTTTTTTTTTTACCTAACAAAAAGAGGCTGTCTGTGCAGTGCATTTCACCTGGTGCTCTAAATATTTTCAAACACATTATCCTGAAACAATTACACCTTTGGAGGGGCGACCTGAGGAGGATAGAAAACATTTCATTAAAAACATATTTTCCCCTTCAAGGTAGAAGTTATACAACATACTGAAGAGTGTGTTGGTGTGAGCGTGTGAAACCAATATCTCCCCTGTGGAGCATTGTAAAACAGTTTTCATCTTGTGCATTTCACCTACAGTTCAAAACACTTTGTTCAAAAGTCAATCCGGGGACATCAACATCTTGGTTCTCCTCTCGTTGTAGAACCTGATGAAGGCCAAAAAAATATAACAATCGCAGTCAGAGAAATGTGATAGCCAAAACAGTGTTAGAGAAGAAACTCTGATATTAACCTCTTTCCCAGGGTAAAGGTGGCGGCTCATCGTCATCATTGTCCTCATCTCTTGGCCTGTGGTACATCACTTTCCTCGGAGTACTCATTTCTATCCGACGATATGAGCAGAACATTATACCAGGGGTGAGTTTGAAGAATTAAGGCTAAAGAGAATATGCATGCGTTATGTCTTTGACTTGAAGACAAATTCACAACAATAATCTCACAACACCCAAGTCAACCCTAACTCCACGTACATCCAAAGAACGACCAAACACATTAAGCCAGGGACACTATCAAAGTTTTAAAATTCATAAATGAAATAACTGATTTTCACAGACTCATTTTAACTCAATTCAGATTTTTCCTGGACAGAGATTTATATCATGTGCTGTGGCTGAAAAACAAAGTTTCTTTATTGTGAGCAAGAAACTGAGATTTTAAATGCTTATGGAACATTTTCTGGCCTAAGTTTTACACCTAGAACTTGCCAAGATAATCTTTGTTTGCCTTGATGTGTTTAATGTGCTCCCAACTTTAGACTGTGGGGTTCCAGCTCAGCATTTCAAAAAAACGTTTGGGACCGAAACTGCTCCATCTTGGCAGCAAAATTTTAATCAAGATACACAGGCTGTTTGGGTTGAGTTTCAAAATGATTGGCCGTGTAAATGTAGTTGCTTCAAGAGAAGACTGAGATTTAACTTTTTTTTCCCCAACAAGACATTGAGTGGCTAAATTCAACCTTGTCGTTGAAGAGGGGTTGCTTGTCTCCTCCTGGGGATCACGTCACCGTCTCCCCACCTTCCTTGATCTGACATGGTCAGATCTTCTCTGCAGAGTCTGTCTATGAACGAGTTCACACATTCAGTACGTATTTCTAACATGATTGCACATTTAGACATGAAAATAATGTCCGTCAACTGATGTCAAAGAAAGAGAGACTCCTGGCAGAGACTTACCCTGACATGTTCTGCACTGAAGCTCACTACTAGTCATCTCTCCACTCTCACCATCAGCTGGCTCCTGGATACAAACATCATGGCCTTCCTCCTGATTGACGGGATCTGAGGGATCTTTGTATTGGCCCCTTTTATACCAAGGTTTTGCAGGATGTCTAAGTGGGACCGAATGAGGCTTCCTGGGCGCAGAATGCTTCCTCACAACCACTCTGACAGGCTGCTCACACCCTCTTCCGTATCTGCTTTCCTCCTCAGAGTCCCCGGCTTCGTCCCTGTAAATCTTAGCGCTGTGGACTTTGCTCCTACCTGCCCCTTTTGCTAGACTTTTCCCACAGCAGGCGCACATAACCTTCTTCGAGCCAGGCAGCCACACGTTTTCTACTTCATCAGCAACTTGTGGAGACCCACTTACAACTCCTGCGAGCCCCCTGTCTGGATACACGCGTTTGGGGAAAAGATCTGCGTCGTCCAGATCTGTGGAGAACATCTCATCTCTGGAGGAAAGCTCATCCAGAGATGGACTGAGAACGCTCATCCGCTCGTGGGTGGTGTGCATGGATAGGTAGTTGTAGTAGTAGGGTGTAGCAGGGGAGGAGAGGTGGCCGGCTTCAGCATCTCCACGTTTTAAAACGCTCTGAAAAGGCAGCTTGAGGATCTGGTAGCTTGGATCAGCTTTCTGATGTTCTGCCTTTGAGACTTTGTCGACACTTTTAGCATCTTTGAGCGCTGGCTGACTGGAGGTAAAGGAAGAAGATGGCGCTGATGGTGTTGAGAGCAAGATTGGATCCACTCTCTGCTTCAGGAGCTCTTCTGCGTCACATGTGGGAACACTTGGATCGGTCATCGAGGTATCTGACTGGATATCCGTGACCTCATCTTTCTCATGAGGGAGGAAGTGTTCGTCTGCAGCCAGCTCCTCAGTCTCTGGACACTCTTCATGAACAGAGGAGCTATCGAGAGGCAACTCCTCTTCTAATCCTCCAGACCAGCATCCATGAGGGCTCAGGCCATCTAAGCTCCTTTGGCTGGACTCGCCGTCATACACAGCTGTCGTGGAGTCACTGAATGTCACAGCTGGAGACGCCAAATGGTTCTCATCGGGCGCTGCAGGCAGGGTGCGATTCTGCTCGTCCCTTTTCTTCTGGTCTCTCGGAGAAAACATACCCGAGGACTGCGAGGCCACACCTGAGTCTAGTTCTCTCTCAGCGCCTTGCAGCTCACTGCCTCGAATCTTATCAAGGCATTCGATGAGTTTGTTTATGGCATCACTGGGGTCGGTTTGAGCCTCTGAACAGGCCATTTCTCGACGCCCCTGAGGCTGTGGGTGATACTGCGGACGAGGCATGTCATTCCAGACCGGAGCGTGGAAGCGAGGTTCAAACATTCGCCGGTGATCCATTGGATATATCGGAGCATGTGGGAAAACATACCCGGGATACTGCATGTACTGGTAAGGTTGCATGCAGGGACGGCCAAAATTAAAACCTGTGAAATAAATAATTGCCCACAGTGAGATTTCAGGTAAACAATACTGGCTAACAACAACAACAAAACTAGGTTTAAAAAGCGAGATACCTCCAGGCAAACCATAGTGACCGTATGGGTTGTTCATCTGCCAGTGCTGGTAGAGGTAGTAAGGTTGAGATGGTGGCTGGACATAGAAAAAAGGTCTGGGATGTTGGGTTCTCGGTTGTCCATTCCCAAATGTGTGTGGTTGTTTGCTTCCATCTACAGGAAGCAGCAGTTGAGCAGATTATTATTTTAAGCAAATATGCAATTCTCTACTTATTGAGGTTAACAAAACGGTAAGTTTACACAGCTCAAACGTAATTAAACCAATATTTGTATATGGAATTATAAGGAACTCTTTACCGTCCATTTTCTGTCGCGTGCTTGCTCAACCTGTGAATAAATAAAACACGCAGAGGAATGAAAACAACCAAATAAACATCCCCCAGCGTCTGAAAATTAAAGGCACGTTTTACAGAAACTTCTTCGATAAAGAAACGGACGCAGCAGGAACACTTCACTCTCAGGTCCACGTGACGCTCTACTGACAAAAGCCGAAACATCTCCGCTAATTAGTCATATAGGAAACACCTGCTGCAGCTGCAAGCGGACAAATCAGCACCGAGTTTCAATAGTGTGCGTTTAACAGGGATCAAACGTAGCTTTGGGGTAAGATTTGCAAGAACTTGTGCAACTCAAAAACCATTAAAAAGTAACAAAAGTAACAAACAAAGAGATGAAATCTATGTGGGGGGAAAAAAACAACACATTACCCATTTTATTTTAATAACTTTTTTTTCTACTGGAGCTCATCACATCACACAGTGGCTCATAAAGGCCACTTCATAATCGATGGATCAAGTTACCAAAAAGCCACACCTGAATGGTAGTTTTAGTTTTAAACAGGACAAATGTGAAAATACAGGAAAATATTTTGGCACATTTTTTATCATAAAAAAAGTGAAAACTCTTTGAATTAACACTTTGAAAACATTCAAACAAACCAAATATTCCCTGACTTGATATAAAGCACAAAGCATTGGCTTAAGTAATGTATAGAGGAAATGGGTATCATTGATAATTTATTATGTCTTTATAAATTAACGAATTTTGTTACATTGGTGTATTTAAAACGTATTTTGTAAAGCAATTCACATATTTTCTCATTGTGTTTTGTAGGCTATGTCTGAACTAGATACAAAAACTTTTTTTTAAACTGAATTAAAAAAAATAAACATGTGTAGATGCTAGAAACTATAGCCAGGATTTTAGAAATATTTTAATTTTTTTTTACATGACACCAATAATAATAATAATAATATGTATTACTGTTTAAATTATGTATTTTTTTTGTTTGTTTTTTAAAGATGTGGAACATTCATGACTTCCTAAAAGAAAAAGATTCCCCATTAACTTAAGTAATGTATGGAGGAACTGAGTATCTTTGATCATTTTCTTATGTATTTATATATATATTTATATATTGTATTTATTTTTCTATTATTTCCATGATTTTTGTTATATCTGTGTGCTTAAAATATAATTCATATATATTTTCTCATTGTGTTTTGTATGTCTGACATACAAAAACAGGATATAGGGGGTTATTATTAGTAGTATTATTTCACATCCCAGAATTTTGTCTAAATATTTTGCACTCATATTTCTCCCTTTAATAGTCCTTTGTGTCACCATCTTGACCTAATACATTAGATAAATCATTTTAAACTAAATCACTAATATAATAAACATATGTACAGATGCTAGAGACTACAGCAATGATTTGGGAAATATTAATTAAATGTTTACATTACACCAAAAATAATATATATTATTAATATAATTTATCTTGTGTATTTTTTAAATCTTGTATATTGTTTTTGTTTTTTTACTTCACCAACATAGGGGTCTAAAGACTGTTTCAAAGCCTTAGGAATAGTGCCAGGAACACAATTAAGAATTATTCATGTAGCCTATATACTATTAGTGACCCAAAAGTATGGCTAGTACAATTTAAATATAAATGAAATATGCACAAAAAGTACAGAAATTTGTGTTTGGTAGATTATTTCTTTGTTGTAACAATGCTTCTTGGCAATAAACCATTGGAAAGCCTGATTATTTCCCTTTTGAATGATGCCACATTTGTAGAGAACATGCAGGAGTGGGATGAGCAGCAGAGCTGAGTATGTGGGTTGCTTTCTTTGCTGCTAACTCTTATTTGGTGTTGTTTGGTGGATTACATGATTTGAAGTCTGAAAAAAAACAAGAATTATTGGCTATTTAACAATTTATTCAATTTCACAAACAGGTGCGTCAGTAGCATGTGGCAAGCCATTCTTCAACCAGCATGATGCCACAGTGTTCTCCCACACGCTACTGACGCTCCTGTTTGTTAAATTAATACATTCTTTAGATGGAAACACGAATTTCCTTACCCTTATATGCGTAGTTTCCATCCTCCACATGTTCCAGTGTTTGTGTGTCTCTGTCTGTGCAGCAGAGGTCACTGTTACTCTCTTCAGCAGGAGAGGCAGCCAACTGTGGGCGCATGCGCAGAAACCTCATATGGCCTCTTGGTTTTCGGGCGCTTAAGATGCGCTGAGAGGTTGTTCGCTGCTCGCTGCACAACTCTTTAATGTCTAAATTCGGCGTGAAGAGCTTACTTGGCACTTTCTGCTGAGGAGAAAAGCCATCGCGACGGTTCGGTGTGTGGAGTCTGCCTACATTTAACAGTAAGGATGCTTGGATTTGTGGGTTGTTGAAGTGGTTAAGTAAAAAAAAAAGTGGGTAAGCTGCGTTAGCTTAACGTTTATTTAGCTCTTATTAGCAGTTAGCTTAGCTGTGTGTTTGCTAGCCGCATTACCGCTCTCTCTCTCTCTCTGTCGCTTTCTGTCTCTATTTTCGTTGCTGCAGATGTTTTGTACCTATGTCCTTTCTGGAAAACATTTCTCAGTTGAGCTGGAGTTTGTAGACTTTCCCACAGGCGGGTTACCTCGTTAGCTAACACAGCTAACGTTACCCCGGAACTGTACAGCTCACCGAAGCTAAAACTTGCCGCTTCAACGTTAACATCGAAGCCAGCTGACGAGGATGGTCACTTCGTTTGAGCATTACTTTCTAATAAAGGTACAGGGATGGCGTTCAGGTTTGTCGCGTTAGCTAACCTCGGCTCAGATGTGTGTTTTGCAACAGGCCCGTCTGTCTAGTGTGACTTTGCGGTGTAAGTTAGCATGCGGGGTTTGTTTTGGATTTAACGGTAACGTGCTAACGCAGCTGGTCAGCATCAGGCAAGTCCAGAAAATGGTACCTATGAAAACTCTTCATAATATCAGCCTTAACATGAAGAAGTAAACGGTTAGTTAGCGTGTTTTTGAGGGGTAAACACGTCGCAAATGAACTGTCGTTAGCTCGCTACACAGTGGCTAGCTGTGAAGTTTATATGTGTGTAGATGGCCTAACGTTAAGGTGAAGGATGTGCCATGCAATGAACGATGGTGCAAACTCTCTAGCATCTATAGCCGGCACATGTTGTTTATAGACTGCATCCATAACTATTTAGAGACTAGACAACATAATAACATGTGTAGGCCATTTATCAAGTCTCTCTTCATGTCCGTTTTCTTTTTTAACATGTGGTGGCGCGAACGTTAGCTGTTAGCTCTGATATGTTAGCTCGGGTAGCTGCTCACGTTAAACATAAGTGGTGCGTAGAAATGGAAGATATCCTGAATCTCGTGGTGACAGCTGTCGCAGGGTGTGTTAAAGGCAATAAAACAAAAGAAACGAGACTCGGGTGGTCGCCGGTTATCAGCATCTAGCAGACCTGATTCACTGTGGAGGAGGTGGATGTAAAATTCACCGATACACAACCTTGAATATTACTTGGATATTGAGCTGACAGGTTGGTGAAACGCCTGCTGCTGTAAATGATCTCTAGTGTTTGGTTGAAACAGACTGTACAGTAGTAGTAGAAGGATTGTTGGTGGTGTAGCTTCAAACTGTGTTGCGTGAAGGCATTGGTGGTAAACGTGGCTTAATGGCTCAGTGTCATGATAACCTGCCAAAAAGGCCAAAGTCGTTTAGGATGTGAGCAGTGGGGCTCAAACCGTACAGGCAAATACATGATCTGTCTTTGTCAACACGATCGAAATGCTATATATTACTTCTGGCCTTTTAACATATGACCAACTTTACCGCAGCGCTCTGTCTTCAGTCAGTTGGACTTAATGGACCGTAATATTTACATTTACTCATTTAGCTTTTATACAAAGCGACTTTTAATTGCTATATATGTCAGAGATCAAACGCCTCTGGAGCAACTAGGGGTTAAGTGTCTTGCTCAGGGACTGATGGTGGATGTTCCAGTGGGAAACGAACCCATATCTCCCACACCAAGGCACGTGTCTTATCCACCGCCACCAAATATCCTCTCATATCTACTAAAGACAAAACTCTGCTTTGGAAATTTGCCATATACACATTGTTTTGTCTTTTGTTGCAAAGGGTCAGAATGAGCGTAATTGAGTTAAGGTGGAAAGTTTTGGTCTTTATATTGTGTGCCGTCTTAGACGTATGTACCATAATAGTAAAATCTCTACAGCATTTTACAATACATGGCAACTTCTTGACCACAGATGCAGCACTGTCTGAGTCTGTGCTCGGGTAAAGAACCAGCAGAAGTGTTTTGCAAACTGTGCATAATGATATTCACTGGGATATATCATAGCAGCATCATGGCAGACAAAAAGACCTGGGCCCATGTTTCCCAAAAGTGTCTTATGGCTAAGGAGACTAAAGACCATGTATCATTAAAATGTCATCATTTTTGTTTTTCCTCCTGTGCTTTTCAGATAAGACGTGATGTAGCAGTGTTGCGCCAGTTGTTGTGCTGTCCCTCTACCTCCGGTCCCCAGTGCCTCACTGCATGACGTCAGACCACAGATAGGTGCACGAAGGGAAAACGGCCCCTTCAACATCCAGGATCCCTTCCCCTGGAGTCCAGGCTGTCACGCTTAGTAGCTGCAACGCCACAACTTTCTCATCTCATCTTTCAACTCCTCTCCAGCAGAATTTTTTCCACATAGGAGTTAAACACCTCCACTGACCTAAGTGGAGGTGTTGAAGAGCTGTCCCCCACCCTTACCCTCACCCCCTGTTTATTCTCTTAAATCTTTAAGAATATTTTTTTTTCCTCCTGTTTGGGTTGAGTCCGGTTCTGCCGGCCGCGTGACTTTTCAAAACTGGGGCGCGATTCATGGGATGCAACCATGTCGGATCTCAGTGAGCGCAGGCCGGTCAACACGGACTACGCTGTCTCCCTGCTGGAGCAGCTCAAGTTCTTTTACGAACAGAAATTACTGACTGACATTGTGCTGCTGGTGGAGGACACGGAGTTCCCATGTCACAAGATGGTCCTGGCCACATGTAGCTCCTATTTCAGGTAAGCGCTGCAGGCGTAGAATAAGTCATGTTGTATGTGGGTGATTTCTGTTTGTGTGGTATAGCTCTACTGAATTTGTCTCCTACAGTTTCAGTGAATAATTCACCATATAGCGTTGGGCTTTTCATGTTTTAAAAGACAGCAATTATTCCCTCAGTCTGATTGTGATGAGCTGTAGGTACTCTGTCATTATGCGGTGCGGTTGTTTTGCCTGTAAGTGCTCACCTCCTACAGTTACAATGAATAATGCACCATGTTGTAGAGCAAGTGTTACCCACTCTATACATGGTGGGTGGAAAACAAGGGAATGGTGTTTCCTTCAGAGCTGGAGCTCGGGTCGCCCTCTGCACCAGTTATTCAGTCGTTCATGTATTTCTCATGGAACAAATGAAGCAACCTCTAACCTGTAGTTCTACAGATGTATCCCTCACGGCCCTCGGGAGGGCTCATTTGTACGCACAACATTGCATAATGAAGTGTGTGTGCACTGCGGTGAATGTGACAGAGCAGCTGCCTCGGCGCTGGGAAGAGTCCATCTGTATATGACAGGAGCTCATGCTGCATTTGAACACCCTGTCTAACTCTCTGTCCCCCCTCCCTCCTTTCCTCCTTCACTTCACACTGAAACATGCATTCCAAGAAAAGGTCCTGACAACTCGATGCCTCTCTCACACCTACCTCCCCGCGATCTTCCCCACAGTTTCCCACGCACTCGTTATCTGGTGCGAACATGCAAAGCATTTCCCCTGCAGGGTTCGGAGGTGTCGCGCTACCTCTAAACTGCTACTCGTTCCTTTCTCTTTCACCGTCTGGTGTCTCTCCTTCCCATCTCCCTCTCTAGCACGCCTCGCTTCAGGGAAAGGGGGGACTCTGGATAGAGCTTGTGTTCGGAGGGGAAAGTCTGGTCACGTAGGTCTTGGTGAGAGATGGAGAGAAAGGGGAAGAAATGGAGGAAAAAGAGGGAGGGGGTGTAGGGGTATGCCTGTGGGGTTGCGTAATACGGCCTGGCAGGTTTAGCCACTGCTGCAAGCAACACACAGTCACACCCCCAAAACCCCCGTACAGGAGGACAGAGCAGTTTTACATTACTGTTAAAAAGTAGATTTGAAAATGACATTTATATCTTTGACTAATTGATCTATTTCATTTTATTTACTCAATTAATCAATTAGTTGTTTAGTTTCTATAACTACAAACTGCGTTATGTCTTAAAATCCTGTTATGTGACAATAAATTGGACAAACAATGGACCAAAATTGTAAAATGTCTGAAAATTGTGAAAAATTAACTGATTCCCAAAGCCCAAAATGACATCCTCAAATGTCTTGTTCGTCACAACACAAAGATATTCAGTTTACTGTCATTAAGGAACAAATAAACTAGAAAATATCACCTTTCTAAGAACCTGAAATCAATTTTTTTTTTTTTTACTCAAATCTATTATCAAAATGGTGGCAGATTAATTTAATAGTTGACAGCTAATCAACTATTAGACTTATTGTTGCAGCTCCATTTAATTTAATCATATATAAATCTCATCTATAAAATCTCAATGTTTAGAAATTTGCAACCCCAGAGCTTCGAAGAGCCCAACACAAAGCCGATATATCCTGATATAGAACATTTTGTGTAAATTCAATGAAATATGGCATTTCCAACTAACTCGGGACATTTCTCTGCATTATAAAGGTGGGGTAAGCAATTCTGGAGAAACCCAGCACCATGACAAATACCATGGTAGAGTGAACAACGACACAGTAATGTAACTGTTTGGTAGGTTGTGAGTTAGCAAACTGACGCTACTTACTGCTGCAAAGCTAACATGAGCGGACCAGACGGTCCCAGAGCAGCACAGCAGCTCACATCACAGCGACACTCACAACTCTCCTGCTGCTATAGCTAACACCACAACAACAGCATGTCTTGGCGAACTATAAAGTAAGCTGTATGTCCGTGGGCGAGTCATTTAACCTTACCTGACTGACACACACGTCATGGCTGGAACTGCTGCATAGTGTTTTGTGGCTCTACCATTATTTTTAATGCAAATGTCTTCCCTGCAACACCAGCACGTGTGGAAGTACGGACCGCGGCGTAGTTTCAAGTTGGATGTTATTTTACTGTTACATTGGACATTCAATAGTTTTATGTTGGAATTTGACATCTAACTTCACCGTGGTGCAAAGCGCCATCGTCATATCGCACAGCCCTAATTTGAAATGATGTAATTATTTAGGAGGACGTCTACAGATACCCAAACATTCTCTTTACCATCCTTTGAGATGATAAAAATAAGGAAATGCATCATTTTGACAACCTGGAACAAGTAAATGTTTAACATTTATGCTTGAAAAAGTCGTCAAATGATTAATCTATGCATCTAAATTGCAGTAGGTTAATTTTTTATCAACTAATCGATTACTCATTGTGTTGTATGACCATCAATCCAGAACACAAAGTTAGTTGATTTTATATTATTAAAGAGAACGTTGTTGTAGATTAAAAATGGATGAATGAAATAAATGTAGGAACTATTTAACACTAAAGCACTTTTAGAAGCTCAGTCTGTGTACTTTAATCTATTAAAGGATATATTGATTTGGCTTTTACATGATTCTTCAGAACGCTTCCCTTAGAGCTGTTTACCAGGAAAAATGACTTGCACACAGGAAGTGTTGTTTGTACATTCCTCTGCAGAAATTGCATCGTCTCTGGAATAAACAGAAGAAGAAACATGTAGTTATCATGTGCAGTGATGAGCAGAAACTGTAAACACAAACAATGAAAACATTTCTGTGCCGCCCATGCTGTGTTTTTGTTGTCTCTGACATGTGCGGCACAGAAACATCACTGCAGCAGTGAACGTTTGGCACCAAAGGCATAATCACAATAAATGCAAATTACCGTTTCAAGCCTGTAACAGCTCTACAGGTGCATAAAATGTTAGAAATCGATGTGGGTAAAGAGGCCACAGCAACATGGGAGTCAGAGCAGAGAGAAGCCCAGCTGGAGCTAAACTGTCCACAGTCAGCCCAACAGACGGGTTCTGACTTTCACTTTCTATGATGCAGTATTAGGAAACTGGTTTGGTGGACAAGTATCAAGTCGGTAGTAACATCTGTGCTCCATATAAAGCAGTAGTATGAAATCCTGCTCTTTGAGAACAACGATACTTCCAGTGTTGTGTGCTATGATGAGTCAAAAACAACCCCTGAACAATTTCACAGTATTAAACATGATAAATTAAAAGTGGCATCATTTACCATTTCAATTCACGGTTATTTAGCTGTATGTAGCTTAAAGAGGTGGAATGATCAATTGGCAATAATATATCTTTATAAGTAGTACCAGCTTTTTCCAAAGTAAATATTTGCTTTCTGTTTTCTTCGTCCTCTTTGATTGAAACTTGAATACTTCTTGGGTTTTGGACTTTATCAGTATTTTCTGAAATTTTATTGACCAGAAATAATCATTGATAACATGAATTTGTCACACTGTTATAATATCCATAACATCAAATCACCATATTGGTATTAAGCAGATACAGAAAAAGTGACATATTTACACTGTAATACAAGCTGTACTCTCACTACTTTTACATTGTAGCAAAGTGCCATTTCTTCATTGTGTGTGTATATATTTGTGTAAATATTTACAATATGTGAGGGGTGTACTCACTTTTGTGAGATACTGTACACTGCTCCAGCTCATTTTTAGTGACATTCAGTTTACGTTAGATTTTGCTTTTTTCGAAGGATTTGGGAAATGCATTCCAGCAACAGCTAATTACAGCGACCCTGATTCTGGCTGGTAACTTTTTCTGTTTTTACAGCCACTTTGGCGAGCGGCCAGCTGTCATTAGGAGGCTCTGTTTATTTAAAAGGAAAAACTTTGGTTAGAAAAATAGTGAACAAGACTGGATTAGGAGTTTCATCGCCCGCTGTACACGAAGTACAGACACTAAGACCCGTCTTATGGGTTTATTATGAAGCCCGGTCTTTATTGATTACAAAAAGATAACCAGAAACTCCAGATATTTGCCGATAAGGGGGAATAGGCTATGGATTTAAAATATAATTTTGTGGCCTGAACAGTTTCAAAATTAAAAAAGAAACCAAATAAATAGTGGTCCAAATAAACACTCTCCTGATGATAAAGATGTTTTGTGGAATGAATAAATAAAGGAGTCTTTTGACCAGCACACGTCTTCCTCACTGGATTGTATCTGCTCTAAAAATAACCATTTGTGAGGATGATAGTAGTTTTTTTTTTGGGGGGGGGGGGGGGGGGTAACTGCATTAATTGTGTTTGTCATTAACTCTGCTGCACAAAAGAAAAAGTAACCTATTACAGTTACTGTGGAGCCAGTTTTACAAGGAAAAACTGGTTTGTATTTTCCAAGTAGAAATGTAACGTCAAAACATATTACAACATGGTTAACACAACACAGACACACCAAGTGGCCAATGAAATCCTGCATGTACTAAGATATATAAGTGTACCTTGAATTGCTGAACTAGCTGATAAAATCTCTTATCTTTATGGACACATTAGTGAATTTAAATCGTATGACATCAAGTAGTTCACTTCCTCATTCTGCAGGTTATTGTGTTGATGTGTGGACAGATGACCCTGAGTTGTTGTTGTCGTCGTCTTCTTCCTGCAGGGCGATGTTCATGAGCGGCCTCAGCGAGAGCAAACAGACCCACGTACACCTGAGGAATGTGGACCCGGCCACCCTGCAGATCATAATCACCTACGCCTACACGGGCAACCTGGCCATCAGCGACAGCACCGTGGAGCCGCTCTACGAGACCGCCTGCTTCCTGCAGGTCTGTGCAAAGTCCTCCTGTTATCCTTAAAGTATTATGTTTTTCTTATTGTCAGCAAGTCCCAAGAAAAGGCCAAAGCAAAAAATTGATCACACTAACAAATATCGTCTCTGTGTCCTGATATCTCTTCTTCCTCTGAAGAGAGAGAGCTCCATTGTTGTCCAAAAACAACACACACGGTAGTTTATTTTGTGTTTGTCCCACATACACCATCCTGCTGCCCCAAATACCCACTAGAGCACCACATATGTAATAACCTGCTGCTGAATAAAGTTTATAGCAAATGGACTGTTTCCTTCTTTTGAGTAACGTTGGCTTAAAAACAACAGTTTCCAGCTGTTCTCAGCCTTTTTGAAAGAAATTAAACTATATATTCATGAGCTGTCTATTATTTTATCCCCATTCAAGTTAGTAGATGGCCAAACCAGAAGCTGACCGCCTCAACTGACAAAAGTCAACACGGTAGCGCCATCTAGTTGCAGAACGACGCAGACACCGACGCCCGCGTATAAATGCATGGCTACGTGCGTACCCGACGCAGAATTACACATCACGCTTAAGAACATTTATAACAGATGAATCTACACACTGGCGGTTCTGCTTTTGTAGGTGTATCCCTTGATGCTAGGAGGAATGTTTTTGTCTGACAGACCTCTGACTCTCTTCCTCTGTCCCATTCAGGTGGAGGACGTCTTGTTGCAGTGCAGAGACTATCTGGTGAAGAAGATAAACGCTGAGAACTGCGTCCGCATGTTGAGCATCGGCGACCTGTTCAGTTGTAGTGAGCTAAAGCAGAGCGCTAAGCGCATGGTGGAGCACAAGTTCCCCGTGGTCTACAGGCAGGAGGCCTTCCTTCAGCTCTCACACGAGCTGTTGATAGACGTCCTGAGCAGCGACAACCTCAACGTGGAAAAGGAGGAGACGGTGCGCGAGGCGGCCATGCTGTGGTTGGAGTATAACATGGAGGCGCGCTCGCAGCACCTGTCCTCTGTGCTCAGTCAGATTCGCATCGACGCGCTGTCTGAGGTCACGCAGCGTGCCTGGTTCCAGGGTCTGCCACCCAACGACAAGTCTGTGGTGGTGCAAGGCCTCTACAAGTCCATGCCCAAGTTCTTCAAACCTCGGTTAGGCATGACCAAGGAAGAGATGCTGATCTTCATGGAGGCCATGTCAGAAACGCAGGGCGATGGCTGCGTCATGTCCGGTGCCTTGCCTACTACGGTAGTGTGTTACAGCCCGCAGGCGGAAAAAGTGTACAAGCTCAGCAACCCCCCAGGAGACCTGCAGAAGGTGGGGACGCTCGTTACACCAGACAACGACGTGTTCATCGCTGGTGGACAGATCCCTCTAAAAAACTCTATCACCAACCACGGCAAGAGCGGAAAGTTACAGGCGGTCTTCCGCTCGGTCGATAGCTTCTTCTGGTTTGACGCCCAGCAGAACGCCTGGGTACCCAAAACCCCCATGCTGTGTGCCCGAATCAAGCCCTCGCTGGTGTTCTGTGAGGGCTACATCTATGCAATCGGAGGAGACAACGTAGGAGGAGAGCTGAACAAGCGCACGGTGGAGCGCTACGACTGCGAGAAGGACGAGTGGAGCATGATGAGCCCCCTGCCCTTCGCCTGGAACTGGAGCACCTCCGTGGTGGCGCACGACTGCATCTACGTGATGACCCACGACCTGATGTACTGCTACTTCCCCCGAGCCGACACCTGGGTGGAGATGGCCATGCGCAAGACCAGCCGCTGTTTCGCCTCTGCAGCTGCCTTCGGTGACCTCATTTTCTACATTGGCGGCCTCCACGTGGTCAGCAACTCTGGCATCCGCATGCCCACGAGCACCATCGACGGCTCTTCCGTCACCGTGGAGGTCTATGATGTCAACAAGAACGAGTGGCGCCTGGCCGCCAACATCCCTGCCAAGCGTTACTCGGACCCATGCGTGCGGGCAGTGGTGCTGCTCAACTCACTGTGCATTTTTATGCGTGAAACCCACATGAACGAGCGCGCCAAGTACGCTATTTATCAGTACGACATGGAGCTGGACCGGTGGTACCTACGGCAGCCCGTGTCGGAACGCGTGCTCTGGGATCTGGGCAAGGACTTCCGCTGTGCGGTGGGTAAGCTGTACCCGTCCTGCCTGGAGGAGTCCCCCTGGAAACCCCCAACCTACCTCTTCTCCAACGACGGAGCCGAGGAGTTTGAGGTGGACGGGGAGCTAGTGACGCTCCCGTATAGCTCTTAGGCTCCGCTCCCCTACCTCGCTGACTGAACCAGGAATCTGTAACGCTGAGGGATGAACATGAAGGGGGGCAGATCTCTGACGTATGAAAGGGTTTGTTATCTGTGTTGTGGAGGGATCTCTGGACTTTGGAGGCTTGCATTAGCCACAGCTGTTGCTGATGAACAATGCAGCCTAAAACAAGCTTGGAGAGAAAAAGATGCCCCTCTAAAATACTAGTAATTTGAAAACTTCTGCCTCCCCCCCTTCTTATTTTGTCAACTATGACATCTGTTAGATATTATTACAAGTCTGTCATACTGTTTCTACAATGTGATAATCTAAATGTCAACTGATTTTTGTGGTGATGAGGGTGATGATGCACTTAACCAGTAAAGCTTCTTGGAATAACAATGGCAACTGTACCAAAATCCCCCAGCATCCCTTCTGATTGTGGCTTCCCTCTCTTCTCCCCCACCCCCGTCTCCGCTTTTTCTCTTCTCTCACCACTGATAAAGGAATACACCACTGCAAATCTGTCATTAGAGTATCAAAAATGTTCCCTGGAGGTTTAAAAAGGAGGCTCTGAAAAGGTTTATAGCAAAGGGACAGGAGATCATTCAGCTTTGATCCACAGCAGTTAAAAATGGGTTCCAATGGTGAGCTTGAATCAATACAAACATGTATCAAAACTGATCTGTAGAAACTTATTAAACTGCTTCTCCTCACATCTAACACGATGTCTGTTGAACATATTAAACATGGATCAGTGGTTGTGCATAATGCAGCAGGAGTGGTTTAAAACATTTTGGTATTGAGCTTGAAGGTTCATTACCAACCTTGGAAATGGTATTTTTGACTAAAAGAATTCGCACAAGGTCAATGAAATGCGGTTGAAGTTTGGGAAATGGTCCAGTAATGTGTTTTCAAACCCTGTAATGTTTATGTCTCACAAGAAAAAACATAAAGATACTATTTCCAAGGTCATTAGTCTGTTTTGAACAGGGCTGCATCTAAAGAAAAGCATCTAAAGATTATTTGCATGGAGGATGGATTTGTCCACATTTCTTCTAATTAACTGATTAATCCTACATACCACAAGCAAGTTCCCAAAGCCCATGTTTACATCTTTTTATATAGCTTAATTTCTGTCCAGCAGTCCAGAATCCAAAAGGTCTTCACACATTTGAGAAGCTGGAACCTGACAATGTTGGACATTTGTTCTTGAGAAATTCCTTTAAATGTAGAGCTGAAACGACTACTTGATTTAAATGATAGAAGGGTTACACTTTAGTATTTATCACTTAAAGGTGGGGTATGCGATTCGAATCCAATACACAATTTTTGTCATTCACTCTTGTGTACTCAGCCCTGGCTCTGTAAATGTGCCCGCACCTCGCCACTCAAAGCTATTTCAGCTGTGATTTGTGTGTCAGGTAACGTTAAATAACTTTCCCACGGACATTCGGCTCACGTTGTAGTTCACCAAGACATGCTGCTGTTGTGATGTTGGCTGTAGAAGCAGGAGAGTTGTAAGTATCGCTGTCTGGATCTGGGACAGTCTCGTCCTCTCTGCATGTTGGCTTCGCAGCAGGAAATGTAGGACCAGTTTCGCTCTATATCGTAGTACTTGTCCGGAATCGCTTACTCCACCTTAAGTCATCTTTGAAGCAAAAATGTCAAATATTCTCTGGTTCTACCTTCCCAAATGTGAGGATTTGATGATTTCCACTTTTTGATGTTGACTGTTTGGACAAAACGAGCTATTTAAAGACATCAGCGGTGGTAACTTGTGATGGACGTTGTTTTTTGTTTTGTTTTTTAGACCAAACAGTTCATCGATAATGAAAATAACCCCTAGTTGCAGCCATGGTGGTGAATAAATGTTTTAAAATGTGAACATCTACCAGCCACTGACATGGAAATGTTTAAATTCACCAGCCAGCAAATAGTAAATCATTATTTCGTGTCTGAAGTCTGCCAGCATTTTACCTGCTGGCAGCTCTTCAGCCATGTTTTGTTGCTGTGGTTCTGGATCTCCATGGTAATCTGCTGGGAACCAGGACTGCTACCGTCGTCCGCCACAAATGAGCAAAATACAAATTTTTCAGAGCCACCTTTAAAACCTCACAGGTGCACGTATTTAACACTTTAAAGATAGATTTGTTCAGAGTGTTTCTTTTAAAACGGGATCCATCTTTTTCTTCTAAAAGCCCAACAGACGAGAAGAACAGGGGCCCGTGGCTTCCGGGAGGGATGACGGAGGGGGCGGGGGAGTGTGAGGCAGAGGGCGACTGCAGGTCCGGTCACCCATTACCTCTCCTCCCTCACCGCTCCGTCCTCCACCCTGACTCTACTTTAGCGCCTCCACAGCTGTCTGTCAGTCTGTTTGCACACAGGTCTTCCACACAGCCAGCGGTCTACACCTCACTCCATCCATCGTCACATCATCATAATACTTTTGTTTGTTTTTCACCAGGGTCTCTGCAAAATACACACAACTCCACTCTCGGTACAAACATATGTTTCGGGCTCATGCATTTGTTGTTTTTTATGTTTGTTTGTTTTTTTTTATTTCCAAGCTGCTGAAATATATAATAAATATATATTTTTCATATGTTTAAAAGACAACTGTTTCAGTGTGGGGGAAAATAACCAGGTCTATTTTGTATTAGTGTCTTTTTTTAATTTAATATCAGACATTACTGTAGTGTGATTGTGGGTAGATATCCATTTTCCAGATTACATTTTTCTCGAGTGAATATTGAGGAATCTTGCTGCTGATCGGTTGTGAGAGGAGAGGGCTTGCGATGGAAATCGGCCCCAGCAACCGCTAGCAGTAGTGGAGAGGGCGGGTCAGGGAAGGAAGGGGTCTTCCTTCTACCTTAAAAACATGAGCACAGGTGCTTCATGACAAACCTTACTAGCATGTTTGGCTGCATCATATTCCTTTGGCACTGTATTTTGAATGAACGTTAATTTATTAAAAAACATACCAAAAGCGTTCCTGAAACTGACTCCCTGTTTCTTTTGTTTTGACTAAAATGTGGTGGTTGGTACTGCTCCAGTTTTAAAATATGTATTTAAAGCAGTTATTAAGGTTGGCTGACGAATCTACAATACCAGAAGTTGGTATTGAACATCTGGCCACATTTGTGGTATTTGATTCTTTAATTTTTGAGCAGAAAGTTTAGTTTAATTATGAAAGTTGCTAACATTTATTTTGTTGAATGGAGGAGAAAAAAAGGGTTTTGTCAAAAAAAAACTGCTTATTTCTCCTATTAGGTATCATCAGCTTAGTAGTAGTACAGTTCAGTAAAAGTACTGAACATTTTCAAACATTACCCCGCCCTACAAACACCACAGTGGTTGTTGATTTACAAATAACTTCTGAGCCAAGGGGTTTCCAGTTGCAAATCCCCTTTGGTAATATCGCTTCACTTCCATAAGAGGAACTTTAAATGAGCTAAACAGCCTTTACTGGTTACTTTTTCAGGAAGTTGGATTTGACAGCAGTTAGCTAATGTTTTAAGGTGCAGGCACTGGACAAAGCTTGCTAATACTAACTATATTTTATGTGAGGTGAGGTGACACTGTATAAAAGATAAATCAGAAGAATAACAAGATCGTTTTGAATGGAAATAATCACTAGTTGCGGGCCAGTTCTGCAATGTTCAATTCGAAATTGCAACTTTTCCTAGAAAACGATGGAGAAGATGGAAACAGAATAATTGTGTGAGGGAGGTTACCCTTTAACAAAATAATAATTTTCAGTACTTCCGTTTAAATGTTGTCTGAGCAGTGTTTTTCCTCTACAAGACACTCAAAAATCTATTTGGTTGTCCAACACTAGAATAAAAAAGTTTGAAGGAAGACACTCACACTGGTCTGAAAACATAAAAAGCAGTCTGTCTCAATTTCAATTGTGAAAAATAATGATTGCGCAGTGGTTCACACCTCACAGCAAGAAGGTTGTGGTTCAAACCGGCCTTTCTGTGTGGAGTTTGCATGTTCTCTCCGCGTGCTCCAGCTTCCTCCCACCATCCAAAGACATGTGGACTAGGTTAATTTGTTGGCTCTAAATTGTCCTTTAGGTGTGAGTGTGTGTGACTGGTTGTTTGTCTATGTGTGGCTCTGCGATGGACAAGCGACCTGTCCAGGGTGTACCCCGCCTTTCGCCCAGCTGGGATTGGCTCCAGCCCCCTGTGACCCTGTACGCAGAATAAGTGGTTGACGATGGATGGATTAATAATGATAAAGTGACTCAGCAACAACTGGCACTATTTTAAAATGAGCACAAACGTGTTGACATCCATGCTGAAATGATAAGTTGATTAATATTTAAAGAATAGAAAACTAAACAATTCTAGTTCTATCATTTATAAAGAAAAATAACCTAGTTTCCCATCATTGGGGTTTTGGCTGCTCATAAGACAGACATAAAAACATTTAAGGACACTTAATGATCTCATAAGTAATTATTAAAAATGTATCTAACATAAGCATATGAATTAGTGATGAAAACAACCCCTGCTCGGTCAGTCAGGATCACTGGGTGTGAATTTCTGCTTGCCTCGAGCTGAGGTCGCAGGGTTCATGTGTCCCGAATTGTTGTTGGACAGCACACGGGTTTGTGTCCATCCACGTGCTACCACCACCACCACAACAACAAAACCCTCTACAAACATCACCACCACGTTGTTTGGCTGACCTCCATTTTTACCAAGACACAAACCCAGAAGGACAAAAGAAAATAACTGTTCCTACATCATAGACAACAAAAACTACCTCTGCTGTGTGTTTTTAATGATTTCTTTAATACAGCAATAAAGTATAGTATCACTTTCTTCTCAAATACATTAAAAGCATCTGTCAAGAAAATATTCTGTCAATTTTAGATCCCAATACATTCATATCTCTTAAATACAAAATGAAAATATATCATCGGAGGATAAAAAAAGAAGAAAAAGAAATTGCTTTTAACTGCTATTATCTTACATGTAATCCAAAAATCAAAAGAAAAGACTGTCAATGGCCAAAGAAGGTTTAAAAACATGTAGAACAAGAAAAAAACCCTCAAATATTTAAAGAGATTTAAAGACAGAAGGATGACACGCATTACAGCTGTAAAACCGGACTGGACAGAGCATGCTCACTGGACCACTTTTAATCCAACTTTTGTGGAGTATTTGTTGCATGGAAGGAAAATATCCTGTAAGCACCTGAAAATTACAGTTGTACAAGATAAACGATGCACATAAATAGAATATAATGGCTGCTTTGTGCAAATACTCACACAGTGGTCCACAGATTAGGACTTGTTCCAGTGTCGTCATGACAAAACATGGATATTTAGGAGTTTACAAGTTTGTACACAACAAATAAATAAGATATCCGACTTTAAAGTATCTTCAGGTTTACTAAATATAGGTCTCCCAATATATATATATATATATATATATATATATATATATATATATATATATATATATATATATATTCTGACAGCAAAGTACAAAAAGGCCTGGGTGAGGGTTAATAACACAGCTGGGTGCACATTGCTTAGTTAAGGGAAGTTTTCATCAGGGCACATAGTCAGGCATTAGGTACACAAGGATTTAAGTAATAACATTGTGGTTATTGCAGTAACAGTTTTCAGATATTGTAATCATATTGTTGTAGTGTTTTGCATTTGTCACAGATGCTTGAGAGCAGATAACTGTTAAAAAAGGGAATGTAATAATCTAGAGCTAAAATTATTAGAAAAATCTATTTAATTACCTTAATTTTGGGAATGTGTTAAACAAGTAAAATGCCAAATATTCTGTGTTTCTAATGGTAATTCGTAAAGTGTGAGAATTTGCTGCTTTCATAAAATCTTGTAATAATTATTTTAGGGGTTTTGGACTGTTGAAGATGTGAATGGAGCCCAGAAACTGACACAATGTAATAAAAGTAAAAACCTAAGTGAATTCATCAATAAATAATACTGTTACATATTTAAAATAAAGTGTTATAGAAAATCTAAAGCTTTACACTTCTCCGATTAGTTGTTTTTGCAAAAAGCTTTAATATTTTTTCTTTATCTACAAATTAAAACTTTAAAGTTATTTCACTCATTTTATTTTTTTACTCCTTCATTTTCCTATTTTGTTGGTATTGGCACGTATTTATTAATGAATCATCAGACTGTGTGGCTGCTAGTTAGCATAAACACTGACAGCTAAACACATTGACCACCCACCTTTTCAGCCAGTTACCTCACTGATGCCACCATTTGTGATAAAACTACACCAGCCAGTTCAGTAAATGTTGAGCATCCAAATACTGTCCTGCATTTTCCCGTAGTATCACTCTTGTAACTGAAGCTAAAGCATTTTAGCCAACCAGCTAACGCTAATAACATTAGCTAGCTAACACAACATGGAAGTTTAAAGACACTTTATCTTCTTTAAGTAAATCTTGGAGTTTATTATTTCAACCTAAATATTCTGTAAATGTGTATGATTTCAAGTCTTTTTATTCATTGACATTGTCAAACAAATTAAACAAACACAACTTCTAAGTAACATTAGCCAGGTGAGTTAGCGTTTTTCTTGCCAGCTAAAATGCTTTGTTTGCTTGTTACAAGTAAAAATAAATTTAAAAAAACTTTTGCTTCCAACTGATTAGAGGTTAAAGAAAAAATATAAAGCTTTATATCTCAACTTAAATTATTTATTTATATTTTTGACTTCTGTTTTTACTACACTATTCACTTTCGGGGCTCCACTGACGTTAACCTCGGACTGTGATGGAGATTTATTTGGACTAAACGAATAACCTTGCAAGTAATCTACGAATGAATCAATAATTTAAAATAATTGCTAGCTGGAGCTTCAACATGTATTTTTACGCTATCACGTCTCACACAGGAATTCATGCTCCTACCACGACAACCACAATGTCACTACAGAGGCATCACTGAACGTGAGCCAGACACAATTTTAAAAAATCAAAAAGAAATCTTCAAGTTGTCACAGCTCATGCTGTTCTGTCAAATCCCGTGACCCAGATTTTATTTTGTGTTAAAACTTAATTTCTCAGCAAAATAGTCGACTATATAGACAAACTCTAGAAATATGCAGCAAACAGTCAACACCGCAAAACCCAACGACAGCATCTTTAGCTCCTCACAGGAAAGCATCCAGCGGCACAAACTGCAGCAGTGACAGACGTGATGCAGCCTGCTGAAATTTATGGGTTTTGATCAATAGCGCTGGCAGTATCACAGTGGATATGGACTGTACAGTTAGTATAACGGCAGCGCTGCCTTCCTGTCCAGAGTGGCGTCCACCAAACCAGGGATGACACTGTCAGTTGTTTTTTTTTTGGTTCAGACTTAAAACTCACTTATTCTGAAGATGACCATTTCTGTTCACATCCTTCATAAAAGCAGCCCTCACTCCCTTGACCCTCAGGGCTTCACAGCAGCGAGAAGATCAGAGGACGAGGAGATAGTCAGAGACAGAGGACTGGTTTGGTTTCAAGGTTTGACCTCTGTGGCGGGCTCTGGACCGGCCGGGGTGGTTACAGCTGGAGGCTGCGACAGTGTGGAGAACCAGGAGGACATAGCTGACTTGGCGCTGGTCAACGCTCCGCCCACCGACTGACCTGAGAGCAGAGTGGAGAACAGTGTGACTTCTCTTACAAAGCAGGTACTTTAAGACATTACATAAATTACAATTTCTGTCTCACCAATCCACTAATAGATTGTCAAATCCATAGTGACAGACATAACGAAAGAATTAACCGCCTTTTAATATTTGAATTATAAGAACGCACACACCAGACGATTCAGTCAAGACCCCAGACTTGGCGTTTATACTAAAATGATTTCAGAGAGGCGATTCAGGGGACTTGGGATCTCACAGAAACTCGAGTGATCAAACATGACTTCAGACGTAAACAAGAATGGAGTTGCACTTGTGTGTGCTCCGTTTTGCACAGAAAAACAAAATAAATAAGCATGTT